AAAAAAAAAAAAAAAAAAAAAAAAACACAAAAAAACAAAGAAGAAAAAAAAGGTGTGTGATTTTGAAATTGAAAAACACTGAAAGTTTACATTTTATAACATTATTATGCAGATTGTATTTAAACTTCAGAAATATTTAAGACAATTGTAACCCTGTAAAGTTGATGAGATATTAAAACAAGACAAAACACTTCTGACTTTTAACAGAAAAGTCTCCTGTGATGGTTTTTTGGGTGTGTCTGGGTCCTGGGGGCGGTGGGCACAGGGTCCGACCCCACCATCCTGCAGCGGGGACGTCGTCCCAGGACAGGCCAGGGGTCTCCAAGTGGGTGGGTGTGGCCACCAGCTCATGGAGGGGAGGTGCAAAGTGTAGGTTTAGGGATTTGGGGAGAACAGATGGCAGGCCTAGGGGTGCCCTTGACTGCCCCCCAGCCCCTCAGCTAGGTTTCCTGCCATCCTGGGTTCGGAGGCCACAGTTACTCTGAACCCAAGCCCCTGGGGGCTGTGGCCTGTCCCCTGCCCCCTCCTCGCTGGGCCTTCCTCTGGGCCTTTGCCATACCTCTTTCGCTCTCTGCCAGGCCAGCCCCTTGTCACCGTGACACAGAGCCATGCTGCATCTGCCCCCATGCCCCCTGGGATCGCCCCTTCGGCTCCTGGCAGGAGAGGGGCACCGGCAGAAACCCCCAGCCTGCCATCCCACCGGGCCTTCTGCCATCTTCTGAGACCAGGACCCAGCCTCGTCCCCCACAAGCCTTCCCACTGGGGTGTGGGTCACGTTTTCACATTTAATGATTCAGCAGGTGTAGCTCCAAAGTGGCCCCCCGCCCCAGGAGATAAAGGAAAAATAATTTTAAGAAGGAAAGTGGCACGTGGGCTGTGGTTTGCAATCCTGGGGTTCACATTTGGAAGGGAAATCCTGTGTTTTCTGCTTCCAACCCCAAACCACACTGGCACTGCAAAATTGGGCTAGAAGAGATTTTCTGGGGTGTCTAATCCATTTACCCTCGTGACCCCCACATGCAGAATGTGACAGGCTCAAGGTCAGCTTGGCTGGAGCGTGGGCAGGCCCAGCCTCCCGCCAGCTGGCTCCCCTGCCACCGGCTCTGGACCCGGCCTGCCCCGGCCAGTCCCTCCCAGCCCCGGCCAGTTCCTCCACCCTGGGTCAGCCCCCAGGGGTTGTGGAGTGAGGGAGAGTCAGCTAACCCTCCTGTCACAGCCCAGTGGTTCCCACGCACCCCCGTGGCCCACTTCATCCCCGGCATTTTCCACTCCTGTCAGAAATGAGTCAGCTGTGTCTTGGTCCCCGCCTCCCCGGGCCTGGGGGACCAGGAGAGGCCGGAGGACCAGGATCCACCTGCCTCTTGGGCTCCCTAGTCCTGCCCTAGGAGATAAGGGAGAAATAACCTTAAAAAGGAAAATGGCCCTTTCTTGTGGACGGGCTCAGCCAGTCCACATCTCTGTTCCTCCACTGAAGAGGCCCAGATCTGGGGCAGGAAGCCCTGAGGTCACACAGCCCCAGGGGCACCAGGGAGGGCTCAGGCCCCATCACAGCTTCCAGGAGCCTGCCAGCCTTTGCCTCCCATGCGAGGAGGCTCCCGGGAGGAGCCCTTCAACACCTGAAGAGCCGAGCTTTGGGAACCTACAAGGAGCCAGGGCTCGGAGCCCGGCCACAGCAAGGAGAGGGTTTTCACCTGAGTCATCCTCCCTCCCTCCCGTCATCGCTGGTGTACAGGACAGGCGGGTGGGGGGGGGTGGCCCGGGAAAGGCAGGCGCCCCTGGGCTGGGACCCCAGAACGGTGGGGTCTGCTCTGGCTCTCCAGTGTGTCCCCACTACCCACAGACCCGTGCTCAGTATTGAAAAAAGAATAAATTAAGAATTCAGGGCTTAGACTGGGAGGGGGGGAAGAGGCGGGAATGTCTCTGTGCCTCAGTTTCCCCCTTCCTGCTTCCGCCACTGCAGCCACACCCTCGCAGCCTGGGGTTTGGGACCAGGCACCCACCCAGCTGGCATCAAGGAGGTCTGGCAACTGGGTGGTCCTAGGCCCCCCCCAAAGTGTGGCTGTCGTCCTGCCCTTCTGACACAACTGGTCTGTCCTCATTCCACACTCACTGGGCTGGGGGTGGGGTGACCTCTGACCTCCTGGGAGGAGTGCAGGGGAAGGAGGCCTGTGAGGGGCCGGGCCTGCCAGCCAGCTATGCTTCCTGCCGCCTGGGCCTCCCCCTGCCGGAGGGCCCACCACCGGTGCCCTTGGGCACCAAGCTGAGAACCCTGCAACCCACATCTGCCAGGCCTGCCCCATGTCCCGGAATCCAGGAATTTGGAAACCTCCAGGCCTCCGAAAGCGGAGACAGACCCAGGACCCGAGTTCCGTAGCTGAGGGGGACCGCAGTGTCCCGGCAGTTTGCTTGGGGACACGGAGGCCCGGAGCCTCACTGATGTGCTCCACAGCTCGAAAGTGCAGATGCAAGTTCTGAGTCGCTGGTCCGAAGGCTGCCTGGGCCCACTCCTGGAGCCCCATGATGTGGTCATTCTCAAGTGGGATTCCACGGGCTGCCAGGGGTTCAGGGTTCAAAGCAAGGTTTGATTTGGGGAAACCCATGTTTGGAAAGTTTAAGTTAGCATTGCCGGTGTTTTGTTTTTCTCATTCCCACTTTCAAAACAACATTTGTGGGGCGCCTGCGTGGCTCAGTGGGTTAAGCGTCTGTCTTCCGCTCAGGTCATGGTCTCAGGGTCCTGGGACCGAGCCCCGCATCAGGCTCTCTGCTCAATGGGGAGGCTGCTCCCCCGACCCCACCTCTCTGCGCCTGCATCTTTGCTCACTTCTGATCTGTCAAATAAATAAAACCTTAAAAAAGAATTGAGGAAACGGCACCAGAGGTTCTGGGGGTGGAAATCAGGAACCATTGTTTCTACTTGCAAACTTTGAACCAGGAGGCCCCTGCCTGAGTGTCCCCATCTGGTAGCTGCTGGGGGCTCACACACTCAGCTCTCTGCAACTTAAAAACGTCCTTACGGGGGCGCCTGGGTGGCTCAGTGGGTTAAAGCCTCTGCCTTCAGCTCAGGTCATGATCTCAGGGTCCTGGGATCCAGCCCATCGGGCTCTCTGCTCAGCAGGGAGCCTGCTTCTTCCTCTCTCTCTGCCTGCCTCTCTGCCTACTTGTGATCTCTGTCTGTCAAATAAATAAATAAAATCTTAAAAAAAAAAAAACACGTCCTTACGTCTTTTATGCCCCCTCACCCACCCCAGAATAAACTAAAATCCAGGCTCCCCACGGCCCAACAGGCCCTGCGTGGCCCTGCTCAATCCTCCATGGTCGGCCTCAGGGCCTTTGCACATTCCCCTGCCCTCCTTTCCCTCCCTGGTCGCTAGTTCCCTGCTCAAGCGACAGGCGCTCTGGGAAACCCCTCTTCCAGGCCCCCAAACGGGGCAGGCCCCTGCGACACCCCTCCCTCCCCAGAACTGCCGCTGCCCCAGGGCTGGGCGCAGAGGCCGAAGTGGAAGCCCCTTCCGCGTCCGGCCTCCCGGTCGGAGGCTCGCGGCTGCCGCCCGGCGGCCGACTCTGGAGCTGCGGATTCCTCCCATCCCCGCAGGCCGGGCGCCGGGTGCTCGGTCCGGCCGTGGGGCGCCCGGTGTCTCGCGGCCCGCGGTGCGGTGTGGGCGACCCCGGCCCTCCGTCCTGCTCCGGCGGCTCGCGCGCTGGCACGAGCCCGCGGCAGCCGCGGACGGTCACGAGGGCTCCCTCGAGCGCACTCCAGGCACTGCCCGCCGTTCGGACACGCGGCCGGAGGGCCCCGGGCGGCTCGCACCGAGCTCGGGAAGGGAGCAGGGCTCGGGGGAGGCGGACGGGGTCCACGGGCACGTCGCACGTGTCGCGCGCGCGAGCCGGACCCTGTGACCCGCACAGCAAGAATCCAGACCGTGGGTCACTCGGGGAAAAGCCCCGCGGAACCGGCCGGGCCGGACCTGCCGCTGCAGGCGGCCCCGGGCCACGGTCTCCACAGCGACTCGGGGCCGGGGCCTCCTGCCACGGTCTCCGGCCACGCGGGGCGCCCCTCGGCCGGCCGCCGGGCGGGGGAGGGAACCCGGGTCACCCGCGGGCCGCGCACGGAACACGTGGCCCGCGCCCCTCGCTTGCGCAGCCGCCGGGTGACGTGGGCGGCGCTCTAGCCCCGCGGCGCAGGAGCCCGCGTCTCGCTTGCGTGACGCACTTCCGGGGCGCGGCCGGCGGCAACATGGCTGCTCCCATGGAAGTGGCCGTGTGTACGGACTCGGCTGCCCAGCTGTGGAGCTGCGTGGTGTGGGAGCTGCATTCGGGCGCCAACCTGCTCACGTACCGCGGCGGCCAGGCCGGACCCCGCGGGCTGGCGCTGCTCAATGGCGAGTACCTGCTGGCTGCGCAACTAGGCAAGAACTATATCAGCGCCTGGGAGCTGCAGCGGAAGGTGCGGCGGCGCGCGTCCTGGCCCGCGCTTCGTGGAGAGGGCGCGGGGCGCCCGAGGGTGGGGTCGGGCGAAGGGTCGGTGGGGGCCGCACGCTCCCCGAACCCGGGTGGGGATGGGGGAGCCCCGGGTAGGGTGCGCTGCGCATGCGCAAGTCTGGGGGGCTTGGAGGAGGGAGGCGCGCGCCCGGCGGGCGGGGTCACGTGGGGCGCTGCGCGCACGCGGAGGACGGAGGGTGGGCCCTGGGGTGGGGTGCAGGCCTTTGGGGCTATCGCCCTTGATGGGCTGGGGGAGTGGGGAGAGCCCTGGGAGCGCGAAATTTAATTAAAGGGAGGACTCTGGGGTTCCGTGGGTCTCCTGGTCTCGGGAGGTGGGTGTCCCAGGCCCCGGAGAGTGATGCGTTTGTTTCCCCTAAAAGGAGGGCCCATGGGTCTTCTCTTACAAACACGGGGCGCCTGGGGGGCTCAGTGGGTTGAGCCTCTGCCTTCGGCTGAGGTCATGGTGTCAGGATCCTGGGATCGAGCCCCGCATAGAGCTCTCTGCTCAGCAGGGAGCCTGCTTCCTCCTCTCTCTGCCTGCCCCTATGCCTACTTGTGATCTCTGTCTATCAAATAAATAAATAAATCTTAAAAAAAAAAACACCCAAAATACAACCTGTGGAGCTTGGAGCCGCTCGGTTCTGCCAGCTGAAGCCGTGACACAAGCTCTTTCTCTCACTTTGCCTGGTGCGATCGTGAAGTCTCATTAGACAAAGAAACTGAGGGTCAGGGTGACAGGCCAGACCTTAGGGAAGCCAGGACGGCAGCCGTTGGGCTCTCAGCCCCTCCTGGACCCTCTGTGCCTTGACCACCACCCCCAGAGTAAGTGCCGTTCTGCTTCCATCCGACAGTCTGCAGGCCTCCCCTCCCCTCTGCAAAGCCCGACGACTGGATGCCTTTTCCATGGGCCTCGCTTTGTTCACGCCACCCTCTTTGGTGCCTCTCCTCCTGGCTCCTCTCTGCCCCCTCGCTCCTGAGTTCCACATGAAGCTCAGAGGTTTCGGTCTCCCTAGGACCAGCTCCAGCAGAAGATCATGTGTCCTGGGCCTGTCACCTGTCTGACCACGTCCCCCAATGGCCTCTATGTCCTGGCAGGGATTGCGGAGAGCATCTACCTGTGGGAGGTAAGAGGTGGGGGGTTTGGTCCGGGCCCCCAGGTGGCACAGTCAGTAAAGCATCTGCCTTGGACTTAGGCCATGATCTCAGGGTCCTGGGATCAAGTCCTGGGTCGGGCTCCCTGCTCAGCCGGAAGTCTGCTTCTCCCTGGCCCCTTACTCCTCCCCCTTTCTCATGCTTTCTCTTTCAAATAAGTAAATGAGATACTTAAGAAGCGGCGCCTGGGTGTCTCCGTGGGTCAAAGCCTCTGCCTTCATTCAGGTTGTGATCCCAGGGTCCTGGGATTGAGCCCCGCATCGGGCTCTCTGCTCAGCGGGAAGCCTGCTTCCTCCACCCCCCGCTTGCCTCTCTGCCTGCTTGTGATCTCGGTCTGTCAAATAAATAAATAAAATCTTTAAAAAAAAAAATTATCTAAAAAGAAAAAAGCTTAGGCCGTGTTGCCCCCAACAGCTGGTTATGTGTGTGTGGGGGAGACCCACCTCACCTCCTGCACAGACCATGCAGGGCTTGGGGCCAGAACATGGACACGTGACCACGCTCTTCCTTTCTCGAGCTTGTCTGCGCCTGTAAGATGACATTTGTCCTTTCCCCAGAGGTCTCGGAGCGCCGCAGGGTTGGGAGGCGGCTTAGTTATTTCACTCCTGCGACTTGGAAACCCCGGCGCGTGGTTCAAAAACTAGGGAGCAGTTGCTTTGACGCAGGGAGGGAAACTGAGGCGGGGGTTTCTCAGAGGTGGCCCATCATGGTAGAAAAACTGGCTTTGATGCAGGGGTCCCAGGCGGAAATCCGTGTCCCCTCTGCCCAGGAGGGGCCTCCTCGGCCTTGCCCCTGGGCACTCCTCTCTGGTCCTGGCTCCCCCACTCCCTTGGAGCTTTCTGGGCTGGTGTGAGCTGTGACCATGAGGGGGCGCCCCACACAGCCGATCCCAGGCGGCCGCTGGGGCTGAGGGCCAGACTCCGGCATCAGCCACTGTTCTGCTTTTTCCCCCTCCGTCCGTGTAGATGAGGACAGGGAGGGAGGCTGGGAATCCTCAGCAGGGTCTGGGGGGTGGGGAGAGGGTGTGTGTGCCTCCAGGTTTCCTCTTGTAAGGACACGACTCCTCAGGTGTAGGGCCACCACGTTCCAGCATGACCTTAGTCTGCACCGGTTAGACCCGCAGAGCTCCGTTATTCAAGTAAGGCTTGGTCCCAGGGGTCAGGATGTGGACGTGCACTAGGAGAACACAGTCCAGCTCACAACAGAGTCTGGGACCCCAGCCCATCCCACTGCCCAGGTGGTGTGATGGGCTCCCCTGTCCCTGCCACCTGGGGCATCCCCCTTCCCTCAGCCCCAGCCACTGACCCATCCCCACGTGGTGGCATCTGAAGACTGTGACTTCCTGCTCCTGGGTCCCGGGTCCAGCCGGTCCTGGACAGAGGGGCCCACGCTTTCAGCAGCCTCCTCTGTGGCCACTCTGCTCCATGCAGATGGCCCCTGCCCTCCCCGGAGGCCGTGGTGACATCACTCCCATGCCCTGCACTGGAAGGGGGTCCTCGAGCACCTGACACTCAGGAGTCAGAGGTCAGGGTGGCTGGACAAGGGGTGGGAGCTCAGACCACACTGTCATCCACTTGGGGACGCGATGGGAACAGGCGCAGGCAGGACAGCTGGGAGGAGGGGCGGCCCGCCAAGCCTGGGTGTTCCTTCCAGACTGCCGGAGGGCAGGCTGTCCCCAAGTGCCTCCACCTGACCTGGCCACAGGGGGTGGGCCCAGCACCCTGTGTCCTACCCTGACCTGTGTGCGCCCTCACAGGTCTCCACAGGGAACCTTCTGGTCATCCTGAGCCGCCACTACCAGGACGTGTCGTGCCTGCAGTTCACGGGGGACAGCAGCCACTTCCTTTCGGGGGGCAAGGACTGCCTGGTGCTAGTGTGGGGCCTGTGCAGGTAGAGGCTGGGCCCCCCGGGTCTGGGTCTGGCTGCAGAGCCCGTGGGCAGAGCCAGGCCAGGGCCCTGGAGTGGGAGGGGCCGAGAGCCAGGTGGGCTGGGGGTGGGGGTGACTGGTGGCCAGGTGGGCTCCCCTCGCTGAGGTCTGCTCCCTCCACACAGTGTGCTGCAGGCAGACCCCTCCAGGACCCCGTCCCCCCGGCACGTCTGGTCTCGCCACACCCTGCCCATCACGGACCTGCACTGTGGCTTTGGGGGTCCCCTGGCCCGGGTAGCCACCTCCTCCCTGGACCAGACAGTGAAGGTAGCGCCGCCCCACACACCCCAAGTGGGTCTGAGTCATGTCCCAGGAGCTGATGGCCTCTTAGCCAGCTTGAGCCGGTGAGCGGTCTCCATCCCCCAGGCTGCCAGCTCCAGATCGTTCTAATTCCCTTGACGCTTCCGGCCTCAAGGACGCCCAGAGGGTGGATGGCCTGGGCCTGTGTTGGCTTGGAAATTCCCACTTGGCTGCCTGCTCCTAGCAGCTCCCTGGCTAGACCTCGGGGGATTTGAGGCCAGTGCTTTGCCGGGCGTGCGAGGGGGCTCCAACGCAGGGGTCACGGGCATGAGAGCCAAGTCCTGTCCCAGGGCAGGCTGGGTCTCAGCCCCCAGGGCCCCGTGGGTGGTGGCTGTGGTCCCGGTTCCCCTGGTGTCTGGAGTCCCACGCCCGCCCGCACCCCCAGCTGTGGGAGGTCTCGTCGGGCGAGCTGCTGCTGTCCGTGCTCTTTGACGTGGGCATCATGGCCGTGACCATGGACCTAGCTGAGTACCACGTGTTCTGCGGCGGCAGCGACGGCTCCATCTTCCAGGTGGATCTCTGCACCTGGGTGAGTACCGCAGGAGCTGGGGGTGGGGAGCCGGGGGCCCCGGGGGGCCTGGGGCTGATGTGGCTCAGGAGCCCTCTTGGCCTCCACAGCCTGGGCAGAAAGAGAAGAGCTTCCAGCCGGAGCAGGACAGCGGGAAGGTGTTCAGAGGGCACAGGTGCGGGGGCTGTGGACGCCGGGCTGGGGGCAGAAGGGACCCCATTTTCTCACTCTTGGCTCAGGGTCACCATGTCTGTCCCCAGGAACCAGGTGACGTGTCTGTCTGTGTCCACCGACGGCAGCGTGCTGCTCTCGGGCTCCCACGATGAGACCGTGCGCCTGTGGGACACCCAGAGCAAGCAGTGCATCAGGACCGTGACCCTCAAAGGTGAGGCGTCCCCGGAACGCGCGAGGGCAGCTGGCGGCTCCTCCTGTCTGGGAAGCACGGGGCGTTGCCCGGGTGTGTGGCAGTATCAGCGCACACGTCCGGGGTTGCAGGGGAGGGGGTGGGCTGGCTCGCCGTGACCGTGCCCCCCCACCTCCCACAGGCCCCGTGACCAACGCCGCCATCATGCTGGCCCCGGTCAGCATGCTGAGCTCGGACTTCCGGCCGGGCCTGCCCCTGCCGCACTTCAACAGGCACCTGCTGGGCGCTGAGCACGGGGATGAGCCGCACCACGGGGGCTTCACGCTGCGCCTGGGCCTCCACCAGCAGGTGGGCCCCGCCCCCCAGGGACTCCTGCTTGGTGCCGCTCGGGGTGTTGTGCGGGGGTCAGGGTGGCGACTGAGTCCTCCTCTGGGAGGAGCCAGGGAACACAGAGCGGACGGTGGACGCGCACCCCAGGGAGCAGAGCAGGGAGCGGAGCCTGATGGAAGGCGCTGGTACCCCGGCACCCACCCCAGGGGGTCCCCACGGAACGCCCATCTGCCCCCCAGGCCCCGTGCCTGTCTCTGGGCCGCCCCGGTGCTCCACGGTCTCCGTGCCTGGAGCCCCATGAGCCTCTCGGCAAGGGGCCACAGCTGTCCTGAGAGAGCCCGGCATCTGGCTCCACGGAGCACCCGGCGGCCAGCCAAGGGCCGCGTGCCCAGACGCTGTCCAGCGGGACACAGACCGCCTCCCAGCCGCAGTGGCAGCAATCAGCCATGTCGCTGGGCTGGGCCGGCAGGCTGTGCCCGGGGCTGGAGGCACGGGCCGACCGACTGGCCTGCCATTGGGAGCCTGCCTGACCTTGGTCTCCGAGCGCCCCTGCCCCCGGGCCTTGTCGGGCAGAGTCCTCGGCGGGAGCAGACGGGAGCACGGGGGGTTGGAACCCCCAGCCTTGACAGCCCCGGTTCTGCACTCCGCGTGGTGGGGGCTCCTCACCTGTCTCCCCTGCAGTGGGCAGGTGTTGGGCAGGCGTCTCCCTCCCAGGGGTGCGCTGCCCTGGGCCCCTGGGCACTGACAGGGAGCGTCCTGTGCCGCAGGGCTCGGAGCCCAGCCACCTGCAGCGGGCAGAAGAGCTACACGCGGTGATGAGCAGCACGATGGAGAAGGTGGGCGCGGCTGGCGCGGCTGGCGGGGGGCTGGCCGTGGGGACGGCTCCCCCGGCTCCCCCGGCTCCCCGGCCTCTGAGCCCCTGTCCCTCCACAGAGCGTCCTGGGTGGCCAGGACCAGCTGCGCGTCCGTGTGGCCGAGCTGGAGGACGAGGTGCGGAACCTGCGCAAAGTCAACCGAGACCTGTTCGACTTCTCCACGCGCGTCATCACGCGCCCGGCCAAGTGAGCCGCGGGCTGGGAGCGCTCGCCCCGCGAGGGGCCGTGCTCTCCGGGCTCGGCCGCCGTGCTCCGCGGGGCCTTTTGGTGCTGTTCTGTTTTTAACAAAAAGACTAAAAGCCCCTTTTCTCTGGGCTCATCTCTGTGCCACGGGGCGGCCCCCGCGCTCACCAGGACCTGTGGCAGGACCCAGAAGCCACGGTTCTCGGACTTCCAGACCCTTGTCGACTGCACCAGGGCCATGGCTCCCCCGGGAGGCCCGGGCCACACTCAGTGGGAGGGGGCGCTGGGGGGGCGTGTGGCTCAGAGAGCCCACTGTGGTCCCTTCGGTCCCGTTCCTCCAGTAGCCTCCCATGGGTCCCCCAACCTGAGTCGGGGCAGCTGGCTCGCAGGTGGACAGTCCTGGGCCAGGGTCCTCCAGAGGGATGCGTGCCTACACCGCTCAGCAAAAGTGTTTCTTGTTGGCGAGAAAGGTCGGAGGGAGGCCAGGTGTCCGTACTGCGCTAGGGATGTGACCCGCAGCCAGCCAGTCCCTGGAGTCCAGCCCAGACACATGGGCCCCAAAGCAATCCTTGGAACCTTCCAGAAAGCTGTCCCTGACTAACAGCTTGGCTTAATGATCCAGAAACTCTATGTGGTTGCAGCTGCAGCTAGAGCTGGTCCACGCTGGGTTTGTGTTCTCGGGCTCTGCACCCCAGCCGGTGGTCCAGCCGCACAGCAGCCGAGGTGGGGCCTGAGGGGGCCTGCCCCATCCGAGCCAGGTGAGGGGTCTTGCTGGCTAATGGGGCCGTCACGCCAAAAGCCCCACCACACACGGAGCGGCCTCTCAAGGCCAGGCTGGGGAGGGGGTCACCGCAGCGAGGGGCCAGCCGGATCCTGGCAGTGCCAGCCCACACGGCTGGGGGCTTGGTGCTCCGTTCCCTGCCCCGAGCACGGGGGCCTCCGTGTTCCCATCTGCTGGTGGAGCTCAGTCCTCACCGCTTGGTGCCCAGGTCTGGAAGGTAGGGGAGGGTTTCAGGTGTGGCTGAGACTGGCTCCCCGATCCCCCCGGTGCCTGTGGCCTTGGCTGCCCACGCGGCTTCCATCATTAAACGTTTTGGTAGGAGACGTGTGTCTTATTCTAGGGGCCTGGTGCTCAGAAGGGGGGCTGGCAGGGGGCCATGAGACGAGCTGGGGATTTCGACCTTTGAGGGTGCCGTGCCCCACTGCTCATGCCGAGGATTTAGTCTTAGGTCCTCCCAGCTGTGTCACCATGTCCCACCCTGCACCTGGGGGCCAAGGAGACCATGGGGCTCCTGGTTCCTAGGGATGGGGGTGCTGGGATCTGACTCCAGCCTGAGGGCAGTAGGGGACACCTGGCCGGCCTGGCATGTCACCATGCAGACAGTCTCCGGTACCTGCCTGGAAGGCTGCCTGTGCTCCCTCTGTGGCACAGCGGGAGGAGTTTGGATGCCCAGACGTGCAGGGGGCAGGGCCCACTGATGTCCTCCAGTCACCACACAGCCTTGCACATGCCACCCCTGAGCCCCAGACTCGGTTTCCTCATGGGTAAGGGGTATACCCTCTCTAGGTCTGGGGGAGCCCATGCACAGCTGGCATCCAGCAGGGCGCCTGCTCTTCCTGACAGATTCGTGTCCATGTCTTGTGGAAGTGCAGTCTGACCCCCAATCACGGGCAGTCATGGCCAGTGGGGAGACACCAGCAATGCCCGACGGTTGCAGGTGTCCTGTGTGTGCTGGCCGTGCCACCCCTCGGACCGCAGGCAGAGGAGCAGCCATAGCCTTGGGCTTGGGGGGCCGGGAGTGGGGACGTGATAGGGGCAGAGTGGAGAATCACCATGTCTCCCAGGTGCACTTCTGGATACTCCCCCAAAAGGAACAGAAGCCGGGGTTCAGAGGTGTTTGTTCTCTGTGTGGACAGCAGCAGTTTTATAATCACCAAAAGGGGGCCGCACCCCAGTGTCCATCCACAGATGGACACACACACTGCGGTCCAACCACACGTGGGAGCACGGTCCAGCCTCAGGAAGGGAGGGACCCTGACCCCTGCCATGACGCGCAGGGACCCCGAGGACACGGGGCTCAGCGAGAGTGGCCAGACCCAGGTCTCATCCCGCAGGACCCCACTCCCGGGAGGGCCCCAGAGGAGTCACGTCTGCACAGACAGGAGAGGGTGGGAGTGGGGGCTGGGGCGGGGATGGGGATGGGGAGTCCCTGCTTTGTGGGGACGGAGTCTCCGTGTGGGGGATGGGAAGTTCTGGAGTCGGAGGGCGGGGCTGGTGGCAGGACCGGGAGCCCGGAGCCATGGGCTCGGAGCCGGCTGAGGTGGGAGATTTCCTTATGTGTATCTCACACAATTAGGGAAAAACACCTTCTGTGTACTCACTTGTTTAATATGCATTGCAGCTGGGAGAGGAACAATTAGCTTGTAAATGTAGGGAAACTGAGGCACAGCAGCTGTCAGGGAGCCCATCCCAGGTCTGGGTCCCTGCAGAGTCCAGCTCCTTCCTCACTGCCTCTGACGGTGGGGGAAGGGGTCGGTGCTCCGCTGCCGCCCAGAACCAAGGCAGCAGTGTTTGCTGACTGAGTGTCGCTGAGCCACACGGGTCTCTAATTCTGGGGAGTCCTGCTGTCAGAGGGATGTCACCGCAGGGTGGGAGGAGCCCCGGGTGGTCCCTGAGGACTTGGCCAGGACCAGGGCACGCGGTCAGTCTCCCTGGTGTGAGGGGCCCCTGGCAGGACACTGGCTTGGGTAGGGGGGGCGGCAATCGGGGACCCTCCCCATCCTGGGAGGCCTGGCCAGGTGGCTGGACTTTGTGGCCTTAGCGGCCAGAGCCCAGCCACGCAGCATCCCTGACTCACCTCAGACGGGGATCCCTGCTGTTGGCTGGCAGTCGGTCGGCATTTTTATTCATCTGGTGGAGTTTTATCCTGGCCTCTCGAGTGCTGGCTCCAAAAGGAGACGGCTGTGTTTGTGAGTAATCAGCCCTGGAAGGTTCTGTGCCAGAGCGGCTGCCCTGGGCCCAGAGGGATCTCGGGACCCTCTTGATTTTCTCCGCTTCGCCCCGCTGGGGCAGATGGGATGAGGGAAGTCTGTGCAGGGCGCTGCTGGGCCTGGCTCAGCCAGTGTTTCCTCAGCACCTGCTGTTGCCAGGGCCGCAAGAAGAATTGTTCAATGCCCGCAGGTGCAGAGATCACAGGAGAAGGCTTGGAGGACCGTAGCTGTCAGGGGGCTGCAGAAGCTTCTGGAGCAGTGGATAGTGTCCTTGTTGGAGCTCGAGCTCAGTGCCTAAGTGTCTTTGAGCTCAAGCAACAAGCAATTACAGAGTGCCTACCGTGTGCAAACACTGGAGACAGAGCATTAAGAAGCCAGACCCACCCTTGCCCTCCCATAGTCGAGTGGAGAAGTTGGCCACTAGAAAAGAAAGCAGAAGAAGTTACAGAAATTTGACGGGGCGTGTGATGATTGTAGGCAAGTGGGGTAGAGAGGAAGTCCTGGGGACAAGCAGGAAGTGCTTTTCAGAGCAGGGGCATTTGGCACTGGGTCCTGAAGGGTGAGGAGGCGTTCTCTGTTCCGAGTTCCCTGCTGGCAGCTGGAGGCAGGAGATCTACCCTGTAGGTTCCCATCAGACATGATCTACCTCAGTTTCCTCAGGGTGCACACGATGTCAGAGCGCACTCAAGTGGGTTGGTCTAGGTAGCCGTGGAGATGGGCGGCACTGCTGTGTGACCACGGAGGCGAGGGTACCCCTCCTGGGCCGCAGTTTCCCTGGCAGTCATGGGCCATGTTCTCAGGCTGGAGCGGGCATGGGGGCTCCTGGGATGGAACAGGGATGCGCGTGAGGATCGAATTTGACACAAAATCTCTTCCTGGGGCTCAGCGTCGGTTTTCTCCTCTGCGGAATGGGGAGCTAACTCCCCTGGCAGGGAGCTGGGAAGAGCCGTGGCCAGGGGCCACACCCCACCCCCACCCCCGCGCGGCGTGGCCGAGTAAGCCTCAGTTTCCTGCCCCGGGCAGTGGGTCCCGCTCCTGCCTAGTGCGTGGCTGACATCGGGAGGGGCCGGGAGGGGCGAGGGCACAGGTCGCCGTGCCGGGAGGGAGGCGCCAGCCCCGCGGGGCGGGACGGCGAGCTGCGGGGCCACGCAGAGATCCCGCCTCCCGCGCGCCCGCACCCGCGGTGCCACCCCGCCGCGGCGCCGGCAACTTTGGGATGCAGTTTGTGCGGACGCTGTGGCTCTGCCTGGCGCTGGCGCTGGGGCCGGGGCCCGCCAGGGGCCACCCGGAGCCGTGCGGCGTCCTGGCGCGCCTGGGGGGCTCGGTGCGCTTGGGCGCCCTCCTGCCCCGCGCGCCCGCCGCCCGCGCCCGCGTCCTCGCCGCCCTGGCCGGGGCCGCCCTGGCGTCGCGGCTGCCTCACAACCTGAGCCTGGAGCTGGCGGCCGCCGCGCCCCCTGCCCGCGACCCGGCCTCGCTGGCCCGCGGCCTGTGCCAGGCGCTGGCGGCCCCGGGCGTGGCGGCCGTGCTGGCCTTCCCGGAGGCGCGGCCCGAGCTGCTGCAGCTGCACTTCCTGGCGGCGGCCACGGAGACCCCCGTGCTCAGCGTGCTGCGGCGGGAGGCGCGCGCGCCCCTCGGGGTCCCGGTACGCGGGGACGCAGGGATCCGGAGGAGGGGAGCGCCGGGACGCCCTTGGGGCGTGGGGACCGGGGTTCCGACGCCAGAGTCGCCGGGGCGCACGGGACCGGATTCCGGACCGCGGAGACAGGAGGCCCCCATCCCCCGCCCCCGGGATGCCCAGGAGTCCAGAGGGAGTCCCCAGGGCGGCTCGCGGGACCTACTTGGACCCCTGGGCCCCGGATGCCCCCAGAGCGAGGGAACCCGAACCAGCGACGGGACCGTGAGATGCTTCTGGACCCGGGATGGCGAAACCCACACGAGGGTCCCTTCGGGGCACGCAATTCCCGTGCAGACTCGTTTCCTGGACCTCGGTGACGGAGTCTGGCTGGCCACGGTCTGTTTACGGTCAGAGGAGCCCTCGCCATGCGGAGCAGGGTCCCTTGCCCGCCTGAGGGCTTCTCCCAGTTCCCGCCCCGCCCCCAAGCCCGGCCTGGGGCCTCGAGGGGAAGCA